TGTTGTTCTTTTCTTTTAAAGTGACCTTACCTTGGGATTGTAGGTCACATACAGTACATGCTTGCTTAATTTCTGCATTTATATATTTAAATCAATAAATGAATAGCTGAATAAACACACACACACATAATATACTCTATATCTATATATATATATATCTATATATATATCTATACATATATATATATATATATGTATATATAATATATATGTATTTATGTATATATTTATGTATATAATTTATATATATATATATATATATATATATATATATATATATATATGAAATTCGTATGCATGCATATATAATTTTAGTGTGTTTGGTATTGTTGATATTGAACAAACATGGATACCCAAAGGTCGGACACAAGCCAACATGTCATTCACCTTGCAGGAGAGCATGTTGCTGTTTGTGTTAGAGCTGCGAGAACACTGGTGACAAGCGCCTGCCTTCGGGTGCATTTATACCAGTGAAGTCGTCGATCCGTTCACTGCAAGCACTTTTCTTTGACTCTGAAGAAGAGTTTATGTGGTTTTCTATCGTTTTTTGAACATCTTGCGTAGATCGGGTTCGACTTTCTGTAAACATAATGCATCTGTTTGTTGTAGTTTAGGAAAGTGCATTTTCATGATGACGAAGTTTTTGTTGATCTCAAACTTATTTTTAGAATAAATCTATTATATATATTTACACATAAACATACATATTTACCATATGCTTACATATATATATATATAATATATATATATATATATATATATATATATATATATATATACATATATATATACATATATATATACATATATATATATATATATATATATATATATATATATATATATATATACGTATGTATATATGTGTGTGGGGGGGGGGGGGCGTGTGTATTATATATAAACTCGCCATCGAGTTGAAAGCTGGGGCTAAACAAGGGGATTTGTATTTCTGCGAGTCATTCTCCGGACCTGCATCGACCAGAGTATTGTAATGTTGACATTTAGGAAAATGTAATGAAATATGTATGCATTGGTATCTTCTCACCAATCGTTTCATTTATACTGTAAGAGAATACTTTAAAAAAAAAATGTTAATAAAATGATATCCTTGCTTGTTTCATAATTACAGTGGGCAGGTTGATATCAGATGAACTAGATTGGACTGTTTTTATAATAAAGTTTTATCCACCGACTTAATACTGGCAGTGGAAATTGGAGATCCTCGGAGGGATATTCTGTGACGTGGCATTAGATGGCAATGTTATATTGGAAGTCTGTCGGGAATATACTGTGTAAGGCTGTAGGTCATCATCCAGAACCCCTTTTGAGAATATGAAGACATAATGATAAATGTGTAAATGATAAAGGTAAAATTCATTTGTATAAAGAACATATAAAAGAAATATAATTTCCGAAGTTGAAGGCGGTGTTAGGAACACCTGTAGGCCACATGGGATGACGTCAGCTGGACTGGGAAACTGGTGTAGGCTATTCTTGGGAATGTTGCTCTTTGAAATCCTACTTTTACCTGATACATATATATATATATATATATATATATATATATATATATATATATATATATATGTGTGTGTGTGGTGTGTGTGTGTGTGTGTGTGTGTGTGGTTGTGTGTGTGTGTGTGTGTGTGTGTGTGGTGTGTGTGTATGTGTGTGTGTGTGTATATGTATGTATTATATATATGTATATATATATATAATATATATAGTATATGTATATATGTATATATATATATATATATATATATATATATATATATTATATATATATACATATACATATAATATACATATACGTATATATATATATATACATATAATATACATTACATATACATATATATATACATATATATAATATATATAATTATATATATATATTTAATATAAATATAATATAATAATATATATATATATATATAGTATATATATATATGTATGTATATATATGTTGTATATATATTATTATATATATATATGTATAAGTATATAAGTATATATGTTATATGTATATGTATATATATATATATGTATATGTATATGTATATATATATATAATGTATATATATGTAGTAATGTATAATATATATATATATATATATATATATATATATATATATATATATATGTATTTATAAGCATATGTGTGTGTGTGTGTTGTATGTATGTATGTATGTATGTATGTATGTATTATTATATTAATAAGATGTAATATATATATGTGTGTATCTGTATATATAAAATGTAATATTAATCTTATTACATTGATATCGCCAACATGTTATGGGAGAAGATTAAAGGCGACCGCTCTTCGACGCAACTTGGAAATTTACGAATATTTGTTCTAAGATAATACCAGAGTCTAGACGAAAACTTAATATCCTTGCATCACTCGGGGGAGGAGTACTGAGGCAGAGGGATCCCCGAGATAATAATTTTCAAAGGAATCAATCTGCCCTGGTAGTCTGGTGACGCAGTTTGT